ATTATTTTTTAATTTAACCAGTGTAGGAGTAAAATTTTAGGCTCCTTCTGAAGTTTTTAAGTAATAAATAAAAAACTTCACCTGTTAGGCCGAAGTTTTTTTAGTGCAATATGTTACTAACATATCACACATTAAACTAGAATTCAGTGAATTAATCAGAAAACATTTTGAATTCTGGAGATGAATTTGATTTGAATATGGAATTTATATTCCTTCACTGAAATTCGTCAAACAACCAGAAAACATAAAATTCAAAAACTATTTTGAATTCTGGAGATGAATTTGAATACTTACAATGTATTTGAATTTGAATTTGAATATGGAATTTGAATACGAGACACGTTCTCAGGAGGAACTGACTGATGGAGGAGATACGGAGGAGATCTGTAATTTTAATATGTGAATACGGAGGAGAGACGCACTTTTATATGTTTTGGAAGGGGTATAATGGTCATATTAACACGGATTTTCTGTTAGTTGGTTACGAAATCAATAATTTTTAAAAACAGGGTATAGGTTAAAAAGGTGGCATAAAAAGTGGGCACCGCTGCAAATCCCCCGATGAAATTTCATGGAAAAGAAGGAGAAGTATCTGTAGATGCATTCTCATCTCATATGCAGCTTACTCAGCAAAGTTCAGTGCACGTGTAAGCGTAGGAAAGCACAGAAGGTATGTGAAAATACTTAAATTCCCCTGTGTCTAAGCAGGGCGACGGTGAGGTGCTTCTGCACTCTTCTATATAGTAGGAATCACCGCCAGCACCAATATAAAAAAAATAAACGGATGAATTAGTCGGACAATAAGAAAATATTCATGTGAATACACGTTAAATGTGCCACTGGATTTGATATTAAATTATCGTACTCCAATGTGACTAGACTTTTGATCCCTCTTTTATTAAGAAGAATTAGTTGGCTCAGTCTAGTTTTCTCCACCTTTAGTGGCACATTAGTTGTTTATATCAAGTCGTCTCCGCTATTCTTATCTTTTTTGTCCTTTCTTTAAAAAAATAAAAATAAATCTCTGATCTCTTCCAAATATCATGATTATAGTCGAAGATAGCAAATGGATTTCGACCTCTCATTAATGGGAAAATGAAGAAAAGTGTAGTGTGAAACTGAATGAGTAAATCGTATAAACTGTGAAATCGTGAATCACCAACAACAACAATTCAAAATTCTTCGTTGGTCACATACACATTAAAAAAGTAGAAAGAATTACTAAACTAATATCTGTCATAAATCGTAAAACGTTAGTCTTCTTTGAGCATATTTTTTAAGGATATATAACGTATATATAAAATACCTTTATTTAAATAATTATTTTTATATTACGTGCATGGAATATATATTTTACAACCTTTATTTTTCTTTCATTCTGATTGTGTAAATAAATTTTTGAATTTTTGTTGTTAATACTAAAATTATTATTACGAACAAATTATTCTAATTAATTTTTTACTATGCTCATTATTTTGTTATTCCAGCATTATAGATGCTTAAATACTTTTTATTTTTTTAATATATAAATAATATTTATGTATTCTATAGGTAAGTCCATAATATAAATTAAAAAGAGAAAAACCATAATATTTTTTTGTAAAAAATAAAAAGAAGATAAATGTTTATAATTTAGAGGGTAATAGGTATTTGGCAATGCAAAATTTGAAAAATCTAGTTGAGTGACATTCTGAGTGCAATAGGCATAGTTCAGTGACTTTGTTGTTACAAACGAAAGAAAAGTGACTTTAGGAGATAATTTGGGATAGTTGAGTGACCATTTGAGTAATGGACTTCCTATAGCTATGTTTTAAGATTTTTTAGAGTGTATTCGATGTATTTAAGCTACTGTATTCATGAATACAGTAGCATTTCTAGGCGTGAAACAGGGGATTACAGGAAGACAAATTTTTGTATTCAAGTGTATTCGATTGTATTCATGGCGTGAAATATGGGATTACAGCTGGACAGATTATTGTATTCGACTGTATTCACGGCGTGAAACAGGGGATTACACTGTTTTTAAACGGAAAGTGAATCAATTAACATAATAGACTCCTAATATAACTCAACAAACTCAATTATAACACAAAAATTTTGTATTTTCAGTTATAAAAAAGATTCTCAACCGAAAAACACCCAAAAAATATAGCAATCTTCAGAGAATTATATAATACATCTGAATACATAAATTATATTAATTAAAAAAAATATATGTATTCATTCATAGAATATAGCGAGACAGTGAATACAATGAAATACATAGAATACAGCGGGATACACTGAAATACAATAATATAAAAAAGACAATGAATACAATGAAATACATAGAATACAACGAGATACATTGAAATATAATGAAAAAAAAGACAATGAATACAATGAAATACAGCGAGATACATTGAAATATATTAACACAAAATTCAAGTTGCTTAGCCCCCAACTCCGTCGTCTTTGTTCAAGAACAACCCTAATGTCGTCTCGTTGAAGCAACATCAGTATCCAGTCCTCGCTCGCCGTCACCGTTGCCTCAAGAGAAGACCACCAAAAGAAGAAAAAGAAAAGGAATATAACTACCATCAGATATCACAATGAAATTGTTTAACAATGAAAAGCTTTCCAGAACGAAGATGAATATTCTGAATCTCTAACACTACAGCTCCTTGACCTACGTCAAGTTGCGCTTTATTGCATTTTGTCCTTCAATTATGTGTAATTTCCTGAGACATCTTATAAAGATGAAAACCAGAAAACTCAAGGTCATATATTTTGAGTTCCGTAAGGTAAACATACGGGTTGCCGACGATTAGCACGTAATTACCGGAGAAATAACGGAGATTTTTGTTGATCCGATATGTTGCGTCAGAGAATGAGATTGGGAGGCTGAGGGCGGCGGAATCAATGAATAATGGTCACGGTCGAAACGGTGACAGTGGCAATTGCTCCAGCGTCCGGCGGAGGAGAAGGCATCGGGAATAGAGAGAAAGAGAGGGAGAATAGATATGGGGTAGGGAATAGGAGAAATTTGAGGGGATATGAGAGAAAAATAATACAAAGCTTATTATGGCTTAAAGGTAAGAGGTGACCTTAAATAGATATTTGGCTATAAAAAATCAAAAGGTAGCTATGGAATATAATTTTTTAAAAGGGTATTTATTTAAAATAAATAACGTATCAACTTTTGCTATAGGAGGTAACCAATCCAAATTTATTTGAATGACATATGTCAAGTATTATCTGATTTGGTGCAAAACTGATTTTTCTCGTTCAGCCCTATGCTCCACAAATAAAAAGGTTTACGACTACTACTTTCACAAGACTTGTAATTTTTTCTCTAGTTTTATCATATTTAGCTTCAATTAATGTGTGTTCACATGACTCTTTTTCTATTATTTCTCTTGTTACCATTGCTCGTGAAAAACATATATATATATATGTTTTTCACGAGCAATGGTAACAAGAGAAAAAAAATAGAAAAAGAGTCATGTGAACACACATTAATTGAAGCTAAATATGATAAAACTAGAGAAAAAATTACATAGAAAAAGAGTCAATTACTCAAATGTTCACTCAACTTTCCCATATTATCTCCTAAAGTCATTTTTCTTTCGTTTGTAACAATAAAGTCACTGTACTATGCCTATTGCACTCAGAAGGTCACTCAACTAGATTTTCCAAATTTTGGATTGTCAAATACCTATTTTACCCTCTAAATTATAAATATTTATCTTCTTTTATTTTTTTTTAACTTTTCAATATTATGATTTACCCTTTTTAATTTATATTATGCACTTACTAATAGAATAAATAAATATTATTTAAAAATTAAAAAAAAAGTATTTAAGCATCTATAATGTTGGAATAACAAAATAATGAGCAAAGTAAAAAAATTAATTAGAACAATTTGTTCGTAATAATCATTTTAGTATTAACAACAAAAATTCAAAATTTATTTACACAATTCAGAAGGAAAGAAAGGTTGTAAATATATATTCCATGCATGTAATATANTTAATGTGTGTTCACATGACTCTTTTTCTATTATTTCTCTTGTTACCATTGCTCGTGAAAGTAGTAGTCGTAAACCTTTTTATTTGTGGAGCATAGGGCTGAACGAGAAAAATCAGTTTTNTCAGAATGAAAGAAAATAAAGGTTGTAAAATATATATTTCATGCACGTAATATAAAAATAATTATTTAAATAAAAGTATTTTTATAATATACATTATATATTCTTGAAAGTTATGCTCAATTATATTATATATATTCCATGCACGACTTAACATAGCATATTTTACCCTATACAGATAGTACCCCTACTTTCGGGTGACATAACTTTGTGTCACCGGAAAGTTGGTAAAAATAAAAATATAATTGAGCATAATTTTCAAGAATATATAATGTATATTATAAAAATATCTTTATTTAAATAATTAATTTTATATTACGTGCATGGAATATATAATTTACAATCTATATTTTCTTTCATTCTGAATTGTGTAAATAAATTTTTGAAGTATTGTTGTTAATACTAACATTATTATTACTAACAAATTATTCTAATTAATTTTTTTTACTATGCTCATTATTTTGTTATTCCATCATTATACATGCTTAAATACTTTTTATTTTTTTAATTTATGAATAATATTTATTTATTCTATAGGTAAGTCCATAATATAAATTAAAAGGGGAAATCATAATATTAAAAAGTTTTAAAAAAATAAAAAGAAGATAAATGTTTATAATTTAGAGGGTAAAATAAGTGTTTGGGAATCCAAAATTTGAAAAATCTAGTTGAGTGAGCTTCTGAGTGCAATATGCATAGTTCAGTGACTTTGTTGTTGCAAACGAAAGTAAAGTGACTTTAAAAGATAATTTGGGATAGTTGAGTGACCATTTGAGTAATGGACTCATTAATTGAATGTGCCACGTCCACTAGATGGGAACTTAAATGAATCATGAATAGGTATAGTTTAATGAATTTAAGAAACTCTTACGTGCCTAGGAGTACTTTCAGCCCTCTTATATGTTAGTTTCTCCAACTTTAGTTGCAACTATCCTTAACTATTTTAACTTTGGTCCCTGGTTCTGCTGCTTTCTGTGCTCAAAGTACCATTTGAGACCAATGAGTTCGTATCCTCCGCCAGGCAAGTTAATATCCTCAATTCCTTTTCTATTTATCTGTTTTTTTCCCTCTCTTGAACATCAAGATAATATTGAGGAATAAATCACAAATTTCATGGGGTAACTAATTTCTCCTAGCATGTTATTGGCCTTTTCATTTGTGAAAAGTGAAACACTTTAAGATACTTTAGAGGTTAGAAAATTGTCAAGGAAGATGTAAAAGAATGGAGTACGTACTAGCTAGGATATAGTCTCCCTAGTTTTATATACGAGGGCTCTTTTAATATTTCCTACTACAAAATCATATATAGTTTTGATTGTTATATAGGGTACGGTGCACCTCCTCCACCACCAAGCGGCGGGTACTACGGTCAGGGCTATCCTCCGCCGCCAAGTTATCAAGGATACTTCAATGATCAATACGCTCCTCCACCACCTCCTCACCATATCTATCACCACCAGCAGCATAAAGGATGTTCCTCATTCCTCAAAGGCTGGTATATATGTCATCTCTCTCTCTCTCTCTCTCCATTTTTCGGGTTTTTTCATCATAACCTATAATAGGTTATCCATTCTTCAGTTTTTTGAGGTAAACTGTCGACACATATATTTAAACTTTGAACATTTTTTGTCTCTCATCCCCCCTCCCCCTCCTTTTTTTTTTTTTTTTTTTGGGTCTCTTTAATTCTTCGTTGACATTTTCCAATAATTGGGGCCCATACTTCATGTGTCCAATAAATTAAATAAGCGCCCCCGCCCAATTATTTGTTAAATGTATAAATATGACCCTCAAGTAATACAAGTGGAAGGGTAACTTGCAAATTAGAACGGAACGATGAGGACAATATAGTTGTATTAGTAAGACTCATATATCTTTTTGTGATATTCAAGAACGTTGTTCGGTATGTATATACTCTATATCTTATTCTAAGCATATTTTCATCAAATCTTGATAAGCTCTAACTGATCTTTCGAATCAATTGACTTTTTGGTTAGTTCTTCTTAGATAGTATAATTGTATAATTAGGTAGATAACTTTAGCACATGACATTTTGATTAAGACAAATGAAAAAGCACCGAAGTTTCCTAGCTAATGTTTCCATATGAATGTCCAGAAAATACATGTCTCATTTCTGGCTGCTCCATTATTTGTGCCCACAAAACCAAAAAAAACAAAAATAAAAAAGGAATAATTTTTTTTTTATTTTCGAGAGAAAAGAAGCAAAGAAATACTAGCATTGTGTGTTCTTCGCCAAAAATAGAATTGCGAAACTGGGAAAAATGGAAAACACGAAAATGATTGTAAATTTTATGGTAAAAAACCACAGATATTATATGTTAGAGATTTATCTGAGAGAATCTTTAATGTTAAAAGAAGTAGTACACATTTGAAATCTGAAGTAAACACTCTTGGAATTAATGGTCAGGAAATTCGCAGAATCTTTTAGGGGTATTAAAAGTTTCATGAAGAAAGTATGCCGTTAGACAACTCAAAACATATCACTGGTATTTTCTAGAATGTCGAAATACATAAAGGGCTCCTTTAAGTTGTCACAAACGATTAGCTGAACACCTCAACTTCCCAAATGTCCAACTAGACACTTCCACTTGATATATATGTGTGTCATTTAAACACATGTAGCTGATGTGGCATATGCGTGATAGCTACCAAAATTTTGAGCGTGTGAACTCGTTTTCTCAGCCTATTTTTGTGTTCTTTGAAAAAGAAATGTTTTTTCTCTTTGTTTCTTTTCCACTTTACAGTCACCTCCATTACCGACCACCATTCACGGCAGCTTCATCTACGCCCCTTCAACCAGCAGCCCCTTCAACCACTACCGATAACAATACTTTCCTTCCAATTGAAGCACATAAACAACAACCAATTACTTGAATCGGCCAAACAATAATTTTAAGGAAAAAATTACAGACAAAAAGAAAACAATAAACTAGAGAAAGAAAAGTGATACAAGTCCAAATTCATAATCAAGAAAATGACAGAGAGAGAGAGAGAATTAAAGATTCCAATACAATTGAATCTTTCAAAATTTTCCAGCGATGAGCTTTTCCGCCGAGAGAGGCCACAAGATGAGAATTTTCGGCGAGGTCCGTGGGTGGCTAGGTTATTCGCTTGGCTATTCAATGTTTTTTCAAATTTGTATTAGTTTTAAGAAAAGGTTTTAGATTTAATTTCTGAATATGGATAGGATAGGTTTTGGATAGAAGGTGTCTCGGAGAAGAAGGTGGGAAGTGAAAGGGTTTGACGGGAAAAACTTAGGTTTGTTTGGAGGGATGATGGTTTTAGGAAAAGGGAATGGGGGATCGGGAATTGCAATTGGTCTGTTTGGGCTGAAGGTGGGTTTGTCTTTTTCTTTTGTTTTTATTTTTTATTTTATTGAATTTTTTTTTAAATTATTGTTTACCATTTTAATTCAGCATTACACATGTTACTATCTTATTGGTTCATTTACCACGTAATCAGCGATTGCATTTCACTTATGTGATCTGTTGAACGAAGGTGTCTAAATGACACACATATATATTCGGTAATGTGTCTAGTTGGACATCTGGGAACTGGGGGTGTTCAGCTGATCGTTGGTGACAACTTAAAGTGGCCCTTTATGTATTTCGCCTAAATAAAGTGGTACATTGTAAAATTCAATGTTTTTGACCAATGATGTGAACGAATTTAAGTGATAAATAAGATCATAATTTAATCATATAACTATGAAATAGTCAAGTGGAAAAAAAAATTAAAGATGGATCTTCAAAGAAATGTATTTATTTGGATTTTACTATAATATTAGCTGTCTTATTTTTCAGGCTAATAGTTGCACTTATATAGAAAAGCTACTTGCAATTATCCATCGAATGATCTATTAGTATATTTATTTTACATTATCGATGTATAGAAGTTAAACTATATTTATTTACCTAGTGCTGATTGCTTTTTACAGTTTGGCTGCTCTTTGTTGTTGCTGTATTTTGGAAGAGTGCTGCTGCTGCTGTTTCTAGTTGGTTGGATTTGCCTGTCAAACTTTTACTATTTGATGGCTTTTAATCTCAAAATTTAAGATGGTGATGATAAATAATAATGTTCCTAATTAATGGACTTTGAACTGCAGACTATATGTGTGGGTTTTCTTGATTTTAGTTATGTATTGTTGGAGGCATTATGGAAGGGCAAATGCCAGCTACTTATATTACAAATAATAATTATATTTTTTAGCTGGATGATGTGATATTCTATTTTTAAATGTTCCATTTTTATCCGTCTGCGTTTCTAAAGGAGAGAGTAAGATTTGTATGCTGTCTCTTATGTGGTATATCACATAAATATCATTGAGCTGAATTCTTGTTACCAATTGTTAAAACATGCGTAGCGGAAGTGATGAACTTATCAATGGCATGCAACTAGAATCAAAGGTCACGAAGAGAGAAATTTAGAGAGAGAAATTTTGAGAAGAGGAAGAACTCTGTTCTTTCAATTGCAGAGAAATGAAGATGACAACTATACAGTGTAATGCTAGGCTAAGCTGTATTTAACTAACTAGTGGGACCCAGCTACACAACTAACTACCACCTAATTAACTTAACTAGCTACGGTTAACTACTACTAACTGTAGTTATATTCTCAACATCCCCCCTAAAGCTAGGACTGGGAAAAATGTTCAGAAGTCCTAGCTTGGATAGCAAATATGTATGTTGTGGTCTACTCTGTCCTTTGGTAAGGAGATCAGCTGCCTGTTCTTGTGTAGCACAGTAATGAGTAATGATGAGGCCGTGTTGAATCTTTTCACGGATGAAATGACAATCAATGTCAATATGCTTTGTGCGCTCATGGAAAACTGGATTGGCAGCAATTGCAAGAGCTGATTTGCTGTCACAAAAAAACTGGTACAAGAGACTTATGCTCAATTCCCAGCTCTTTGAATAGGCCTAGAATCCATACAATCTCAGCAACAGTAGAGGCAAGGCTTCGATATTCAGCCTCAACTGAACTCCTAGACATAGTTGTCTGCTTCTTTGATTTCCAAGAAATAAGAGAATTACCAAGATTGACAAAATAACCAGTGACTGACTTGCGTGTATTGGGGCATGCAGCCCAATCAGCATCACAATATGCTGATAATGATTCAGAACACCTCGCCCCCAGAAACACTCCTAGACCTAGACTTGTTTTGATATATCTCACCACCTTAAGTGCTGCTTCCATGTGTGAAACTTTGGGACTATGCATGAACTAGCTAAGACTTTGGACAACAAAAGAAATGTCAGGCCTCGTGATGGTCAAGTAGAGCAATTTGCCTAACAATCTCTGATAGGGTCCAGGATCAGTCAACAATACATCATCGGATTGTCCTACATAGTCGTCAAATTCAGAAGTGGTAAGCTTTAGATTAGGCTCCATAGGACATCCCACAGGCTTTGCACCTGAGAGTCCTAATTCAGAATTAAGCTCCAATGCATATTTTCGTTGATGCATCAGTATTCCATCACTCCTTCTGGCAAATTCTAGGCCTAGGAAGTATTTGAGTTCTCCTAGGTCCTTGATTTTGAAAGAAGACTGTAGTACATCTTTAGTTTGTTGAAGTAATGCAGGATTATCTCCAGTAATAAGTAGATCATCAACATAGACTAACACAATAACTATGTGAGCTGTTGTCATCTTGATGAAAAGAGAATAATCCAGATGGCTTTGTTGAAAACCAGCATCCTTTAGAGCTGAAGTCAATTTGATATTCCATTGTCTGGATGCCTGTTTGAGTCCATAGAGAGACTTCATTAACCTGCAAACTGTTGACTTGTTGTGTGAACCATGGAAACCTTGAGGAATGGTCATATATACTTCTTCAGTGAGATCACCTTGCAAGAAGGAATTATAAATATCCATTTGATGGATGAACCAATGCCTTGATACTGCAAGAGCTAGAACACTTCTAACAGTGACCATTTTCACCACAGGTGAAAAGGTCTCTTGATAATCCAGTCCTTCTCTCTGATTATACCCTTTGGCTACTAAACGAGCCTTGAATCTTTCTACTTCTCCTGTCGCCTTGTATTTGATTTTATAAACCCATCTGCATCCTATAGCCTTCTGTCCTTGAGGTAAAGGAACCAATGTCCAAGTTTTGTTGTCTTCCAAGGCTTTAATCTCTACCTGCATTGCCTCCACCCACCTTTTATCCTTGATAGCTTCAGAATATGTGGCAGGTTCCACCTCAACAGAGAAACTAGCCAAATAACTCTGATATTTTGAGGAAATCATATCATATCCAATGACCTCTGAGATAGGATATTTGCAACAACCAACAGAACCTGTCTTGTCTGGTCTAACATAATCTTTGAGCCATATAGAAGGTTTGGACACCCTGGTTGACTTTCTTAATCCCACATTATTGGGAACCTCAGAAGAACCACCTGGGACAGTAGGAGGATTAGGTTGAAGATCATCATAAACAGCTGCAGAAGGAATGTCTTGTTCAGTTATAGGAACAGAAACTACATTTGAAGGGCTCAGAACAGTAGTTGTGCTACCATCTGTATCTGAACAGTCCATTACCATTGGCTCTTCATTGAGATCCTCCCTAGGCACTGGACACATGTCTAAGAAAATGGGGTTGGATGTGTTCTCAGCTCCCTAAAAAGGAAACATGTCTTCATAGAACACCATATCTCTGCTGATGAAAAATACTCTATTCTCTAAGTCCAACAACCTATACCCCTTTTGATGTGTAGCATAACCCAATAGAACTGACCTCACAGCTCTTGGTGCAAATTTATCAGTGCCTACCAGGTTAGTAGCAAAGCATAGATATCCAATAACTCTGAAATGTATCAGTGAAGGTGGCTTACCAAAAAGTAGCTCATAGGGTGACTTATGTCCCATTATAGATGAAGGAATCTTGTTGATAATATACACAGCAGAATCAATGCAGTGTCCCCAATACCTGACAGGCAAATGTCCCTGAAATCTGATTGCTCTAGCAGTTTCAAGTATGTGCCTGTGTCTTCTTTCTACAACTCTATTCTGCTGAGGAGTGTATGGACATGAGCTTTGATGAATAACTCCATGTGACTGGAACAAGTCTTTACAGGCATGATTGAAAAATTCACTACCATTGTCTGACCTGAAGGCCTTGACCTGCTTGCCAAACTGAGTTCTAATCATAGCAATGAAATTCTTGAGCAAGAAAATAACATCAGATTTAAGTCTCATGAGAAATACCCAAGTCCACCTAGTATAATCATCAACTAGTGTAAGAAAGTATTTCATTCCATTATGAGTAGCAACTTTATAAGGTCCCCATACATCCATATGGATCAAATCAAAACTGCACATGTTTCTGTTAGTACTAGGTTGAAATGGTACTCTAGTCTGCCTGGCCAATGGACATATTTCACACTTAGACAATGTACTACTGTGTATGTTACTACTATATTCTTGCAAACTAGAAATTCTTCTAAGAACTTGAACTGGTACATGCCCTGTTCTTTTGTGCCATATATCCATGCTTCCCTTATTAGTCACTGTAAAAGCTTTATTCACTTTCTTTCCTAGTGCAGCTGACAGAATGTATAGATCTTTCTCTCTTTTACCAATCTTCTTCACCCTCCCAGACAAGAGGTCCTGAAATACACAACATTGAGGAAAAAAAGTAACACTGCACTTAAGATCTTCTGTCACTTTTGATACTGACATAAGATTGAACTTGAAAGATGGCACACACAACACATCCTTCAATACATCACCTCATGTAAGCTGACACTCTCCCATATGAGAAATAGTGGCTGAATCTCCTGTAGGTAGTTGAACTTGCCCTGAGTTCCCTACTGAAGTTTCATTTTTTAGCAAATTTTTATCACCATGTCATGTGGTTGGTAGCACCAATATCAACTATCCATTTACATAANTTCCGAAAGTTCCAATTAAAAAGAAAAGAATTGTTTAGAAGTCTTTACTTCAAAAATCAAAAGAAAATCAAAATCAAAATCAAAAAAATTGTTTCCTTTTTTAAAGCATTCTTCAAAATTCCAAAAAAAAAAGTTGTTATTTACCCATTTGCAAGAACTACGCTTGGTCTGATTCATGCGGGGTTATGATACGTAGGCAATCTCCATAGGATTCGACGTAACCTAAAAAAAATACGAGGGAAGGAAATAAAAGAAAAACAAGAGAGGAAAAGAAACGCAAAAGAGAAAATAAGGAATCGAGAGACCATTTCCAGTAATCATCTTCCTACTCTCATCTTGCACTACCATAGCATAAGCTTTGTCTATAGATGGCAGTGTTGGCATCAATAAGATTTGACTCCTTGCTTGTTCAAAACCATCATTTAGCCCCATTAGAAATTGCAATAGACGCTGATATTCCAGCTGCTCAATATATTCAGAAGCAGACGAAGGAGGTGGTAATATTGAATCATATTCTGCCCAAAGGTCCTTCAATCTAGTGAAATATGTCGAAACAGATGAGACTCCTTGTGTCAAGGTGAAAATCTCCTTATGCAAATAGTATAATCTCGATCCATTCACTTTGTCAAATCTCTCCTTGAAAGTTGCCCATATCTTTTGAGCATTAGAAGAAAATAATACTCCTGTAACTAATTCTCTACTCACATTGCTCATAAGCCATGAAGTGACAATAGCATTACATCGATCCCATTGATTCCCTAATTCTGCACCAAAATCCTCCTTCGATGTCGATCCGTCAACTAGGCATAGTTTGTTCTTTCCTAGCAATGCAACCTTCATCGCACGACTCCACAATGAATAATTTTCCATTCCTGTCAGAATCAATCCCACCGACATAGATCCAGGACCGTCCGAAGGATGAAGATAAAGCGGGTGATTATGATCCGTAATAGTTGTACTTCCAGTTACTCCAGCTCCAGATCGAGCTCCAGTATTCACATTCACAGTCGAATCTTCAGGAAACGCCATTAAAAAAAAAAGAAATTAGGGTTTAAGCTTTGAAACTGAGTAAATTCTCTCGAATTTTCCTTCAATTGCTCGAAAAATTCCCTAGAATCACTCGTCAATCCTGCTCTGATACCATGATGAACTTATCAATGGCATGCAACGAGAATCAAAGGTCACGAAGAGAGAAATTTAGAGAGAGAAATTTTGAGAAGAGGAAAAACTCTGTTCTTTCAATTGCAGAGAAATGAAGATGACAACTATACAGTGTAATGCTAGGCTAAGCTGTATTTAACTAACTAGTGGGACCCAGCTACACAACTAACTACCACCTAATTAACTTAACTAGCTA